ACATCGAAACGACATCAAAACGACATCGTCTGTCGAAAAGCCGTCGATTTCAGGCCCACTTTTCTGTCGCTTACGACGTGAAAACCGATGTTGAAACGATATTGTCGGAAAAATTTCTCACTGGGTAATGGCAGAAACCATTCAGTGGGACAGAATACATATATATTTTTTAAACATTACAATTTAAAATCGAATTTGGGTGGACTTCGCTAAATGATGACCAGCATTCAATGAAAACGGAGCTTTTATTTTATACAATATGCATACACTTTTCGGATTTCAGGTTAAAGGTATGGATTTTTGTCTTCAGTAATGGCTCGTTGACGATGGAGTTTTGGTGATTTCAAAACAGAACGAACAGAACAAATATTTCGGGTACGGAACGACGAGGTGTTTATTACAATGTTTCAGTACGGACCGTTCACAAATAAAGCATTCCGGTAAAGCTGAAATGCAGAAGAGTGCGGGGAAAAAAGAAAACGGAAATCGCTATGCTTTAACATGGTGACTTCCGTTTTCTTCTTCCCCGTATTCTTCTGCATTTCAGCTTACCGGAATGCTTTATTACGTCACGCGTTTTAGGGGGTGGGGGGGGCGTGATGAACGCGTGACGAGGGGGGAGGGGGGATTCAACGATATCGTGACGTCACGCATTCTGTGAGGTAGGCAGTGCATTGCACTTAACAATTTGTGGCTAACGCAAATCACATCATGGATTAAAGTCTATTGAAAATATATCATTTTGCTTTCAAAAACTGCAATTTATGTTCGTGCATATTTTTCCTATTTTATTCGATTTGTCAAAAAAATGATGTCACGCGGTAGAGGGGGGGGGCTGCATGTGATGTGTGCGTGATTTAGGGGGGAAGGTCAAAAATCACCCCAAAAAGCGTGGCGTAATTTGTGAACGGCCCCTAACAGGACAGAACGAAAGTGCGTCCCGTGCAGCAGGGACGCCTCCTCCTCATTGGCTGACCCTTTGATCCGTTTCGAAGAACTTCGTCCTGTTCCCGCCCCTTCCCATCAAAATGGGAAATCGTCGTTCTGTTTCGGCCTGATATTGCGTTCCGTTCCATCAAAACGGCAACAGAAAATCGCAATAAACACGCAAACGGGATTCGTTCCGTTCCGCACAAATTTCCTTCTGTTGTCAGGAAAAAACGAAAACGGTTACTTTTTCCTCTAAAAAAAAAAAACGCGGCTATTGCTACTTTTTGACGGGAAATTGTTGCTAAACGCGCACTACAACGGCGTGGGCGACAGAAACAGCAAGGATCTAGAGTTTGTTCTTTTTTGCCTTCCGTTTGAAATTTACTGGAATAGCACGCTCACAGTGTTGCGTCCGCTCACCCCAGCGTGAGTTGCAGTTCTCATGATAACGTTAGGTCGATGGGCGCGCAGAGCTGGTCGTTAGTCTGTCCCTTTCACAGTGTCGGCTCTCGGCCAGTTGGCCACTCCCCCCCCCCCTCTTTCCACTCTTCTTCCACATTCTCACTCCTCAAGGTCACGGCCCGGCCGGCCGTCGCGGTGCCGTGATGTGATGCCCACAGCTTCAGTGTCGGGAGCCCGCGCGCACGACACGATGTGGAGTACGTACCGTGATGAGGGCCCTCAACGAGACACCGCAACACTAACAGCGGGGAGGTAAAGATTATATTTTAATTTTCGCGGGGGAGTTTTTCTCGAGGCTGGATGAGCATTTCCTTCTTCCCCGACTGGGCTGACACCAACGTGTCCGCTTGTCGACTGATACCGCAGAGCGTTCGGTCGTAGACGGTCGTAGTTCGCTCTCACCCAGTGGCCGTGCCCCACGAGTGCGACAAGAGGATCGAGAATCCAGTCGCCACTCGGGGGCTGTCTGAAAATCGACACGAACAAGGGGGGGGGGGGTGCAGACAGAGTGCCGGAGGCCCCTAGCAACTCCACAAGGGCCGATTTTACCACCCACTAAGTGCACTTAAGTGAAGTGGCACTTGACTTTTCAAACAACTGTATTTCAAATTTCATTTATACATTTACACATGTACAAGTTTATAATAACTTAGTGAGATAACTAAAGTAATTTTACCTATAAGTGACCCTTAAATGGCAGTAAGCGCGTTGTGAAACCGGGCCTCAGACCTGCCCCTCAGTTTCCCCAAGCGCCCCGTCGCCCACTTCAGGGAGAACCCAAGGGAGAGAACGGGGCTCCGTCGGCGGGCTCCAATCCTACTAGAGAGGCTAAAAGGAGAGGGGCGACAATCGGCGGGCGCGCGCCGCTCTTCTGTGATTGGCCGGCTCGCTTCGGTCAGCTGGAGGCAGGCAGCCCGAAGTGGGCCCGAGCGCGACCCGACCGGTGATCCTACCTGACCCCGCTGGGTTTCCTTCCCAACCGCTCCTCGCGGCTTTTCTATTGTCACGGCTGATAGGCGAGGCGCGGCGGCGGCGCGGCGGCCAGCGCGGGCAGCGCCTCGCCTAGGCGGGGCCG